AAATAACGGGAAGCCAATGAGATTATCCCCGAAGGACCTTATCTGTCACATCTTTTTTTCATTGATGATCTTGTACTTTTTGCTGAGGCTAGTACCAAACATGCTAATGTGGTTATGTCTTGTCTGGATAGGATCTGCCTTTAGGGAGCTTATTAGCAAGGATAAGACTAGAGTGATTTTTTCAAAAGAATATCCAGAACAAGACCAAAAATGAGATTTGTCTCAAACTGGGGATCCAAGCCACAAATAATCTCAGTAGATACCTAGGGGTAGGGTTTGAAATCGGTACGGTATCGGTATCCCGATACCAAATACCGAAATTGCAAACACCGAATTATACCCTGTAGTCAATCTGAATCCCAATCCCAAAATAAATTATGTATTCCAATCTCAATCCCTCCATATTTCGGTATGATATCAGAATTCCCAAATACCAAAATAATTACCTTCAAAATTAATAATCAAATTTATAAAGTCAAATAATTAAATCTCCTCAATTAAAACAACTATGTACCCTGATAAATATAACACATCTGCATAAGCAACTGATAAAACATAATATAAGGTCTCAAACAATTCAAACCCTTACAAATTACAATCAAATAAACAACTAAGCAAGCTATCCTAAAAAAACAAGTTAGAAGCAATACATTCCAATCACAATATTGCCATTGATAAAATTTCTTTCACATGCACATATCATCCTTCATGCTCATCACATCCTCATATCCACTATGGCCCGGATAATTATTCATTCCAAGTTCGTCTTCATGATGAGGAATGCGATCACTAAAAAATGAATTTGAACTTGCATCAACAGAACTTGGAATTGCACTTGCTAGGTATTGCTCACACCACCAGTCGCATTCTCACTTCCACTCACATTCATAATTAACCTTTGAAATGTTGAATATACTAGTTGCAAAAAAGTAACAGTTAGACAATGACTAATAATATTAGCTAAACACCAAACAAAGACAATAAAATTGAGAGATTAAAAGAAATTACCACTTTCAAATCCTATTTGATCTTCCCAGTCTTCTTCATCATTCATTAACTTTGAGTCACCAGTCTGTATCCAATCTTGACTATAAATCATTGCCTCGACAATTTTTGGGGTTAGAGATGTCATCAACTCATTTAGCACTCGCCCTACAGTGCTAAATGCATATTCGAAAGCAAGCGTGGAAATAGGAATTGCAAGAATATCTCTAGTCATTTTAGAAAGCACAAAGTATTTAACTCAACTCAACTTCCGCAATCCCAAAATATCAAAATTGTAATCATTACCTTCTATATCCTCCTCCTTGACTAGATATTTATCTAACTCAGATCTAGAAACCCTTCAAGTCCACTATTCAATACCCTTTTCCTACTTAAATCTGCTTCAATTCCTCCCAATTTCACACCATCCATAACATCATCATTGCCAATAATAAAATTCACACTTTAATCATTGGAGGAGGGTGAGACCAACCCCTTGTAATAGTTAAACATCTCATATATTGCCTCCTTGATCTTCTTCGACATAATTTCACCTCTATCTTTCCCATGCATACAAAGCAATATCAAGGTGCTCAAATTTGTGTATAGGATCCAACACAAAAGCAATGTAAAATAACATGTTCATGTTTGCATTGCTACTTACATTGCTTTCATACCAATACTTTACAACTTTAACTTTCATCCTATCAACAAATTGTTGTACCTCAATTTCTCTATATTTTCCCAAGTCACTTATTGTTATGGAATAATCCAAGTACCACATCGGTAATACAAGGGAAGAGACCCTTATATACAAGTGTTCACCTAGCCCAATTAGTACGAGGCCTTTTGGGGAGGACACCCAAGAGTAAAACCATGCGGGCTTGGCCCAAAGCGGACAATATCATACTAATTGAGCTCCCCAGTTATGACAAGTGGTATCAGAGCCTGGTTCGACAGATACAGGGCGGTGGACGTCAGTTTGGTGGGACCCTCATTCGGTGACATTGAGATTTGAGATCTGCGTTTGTCTGGCGGGTCAAAGGTGATTCGCGTCTATTTGGTGGATCCAAGAGAGATCCACGTTTGGGCTTTGGCGGATCAAGGGAGGTCCGCGTCTGGAAAAATCCTTGTACCGAGAAGCCCATCGTACAAGGTGTCTGGCAGATCAAGATAATCGCTAAGGTGAGGACACGAAGTTCGTGGTCCTTGTCTTGAGGGGAGGATTGTTATGGAATAATCCAAGTACCGCATCGGTAATACAAGGGACGGGATTCTTGTATATATGTGTCCACCTAGCCCAATTAGTACGAGGCCTTTTGGGGAGGACACCCAAGAGTAAAACCGTGCGGGGTTGGCCCAAAGCGGACAACATCGTACTAATTGAACTCCCCAGTTATGACACTTATCATATCATAAATATTGCAAAGCTCCTCAAAGAAAAAAATGTACAGTGACATAAGAAATTCTCGAAACACAAATAGTCAAGGTATAGAAGAACTTCAAATGCTCCATCAGCCTCCTCACATTTGCCCCATCAATATCCTTAGGGCTTCCAAGTGGTTCATCTTGATATGTTAGGAGATCTAGGCACTTGCCGAAGTTATCCACAGTTGATTCTAGAACTCTAAATGCACCTTCTTATCTTTCAAGAATTCCAACATGAGATAAGTTGAATTCCATCGAGTTGACACATCTAACGAGACCAACTTCTTTGACTCTATTGCTCCATACACAATGCATTTCTTGAATGTTGCATATCTACCAATAGAAGCTTTCACCCACTTCACTACTTCTCTCATCCTCTAAACTGACTTTCTAATATCTTTGAGCCCCAACCAGATTAATAATGTGAGCTAGTACTTGACATAAAAAAATATGACCCCCAAAGCCTAAGTATGTGCTTTATGTGGGTAATTGCAGTGGTATTGTCACTTGCATTATCCATGGTAAGCGATGTGATATTCTTAATGCTCCACTCCTCAATGCATACAACAAGTGTCTTCCCAATATCATACCCAATATGACTAGTGATTTGAACAAAAGCAATGACCTTCTTATATAGTTTTCAATCTTTGCCAATAAAATGAACAGTTATGCACATGAAATTCAGATTTGACAAAGAAGCCTAAGCATCAGTTGTAATTAAAATCCTCCCGTGACACTTTGTTGAAAAGTTGGCCTTCAACCTATCTTTGTTCTCAAGAACCAATCGAAAGCAATCCTCCCTGAAAGTTTTATGTTGTCCATATTAGCAGGCTTGTACAAGATAAATAATGTGTCTTCAACCCAGATGTCGCGTTACTAACAAAATGAGTAGCAATCACAACTTGACCATAATTGCAAGTTGCTTTATCCTTTCCCTCTTTATTTTTTAAACCCACAAAATGCTGCCAATATGATGATTTTTTTCCATTACCTTCCGATTTTTAGTTGTTGCGCTGGTAACCTCTGTCAATTCGCTATTATCTGCTCCATCTACTGGTGGGGGTTGAGTAGGAGGAGTAAGAGGAGTTGAAGCAGTAGTGCCAACAATAGAGGCATTAATAGTATTGCCTGGGATAGTAACTGTGGTCTGATATGTCCTATAAACAATGAAATAATAGAAGTGGCAAAAGATGAATGGTTTGGTTTGCAAAATACACACAAAGATGACAAAGATGGAAATATTATCCGTACCCATTTAGTCACAAAACCCTCCTGCCCACATTTTATTTGATTTTTATTATTTTAACATGAGTGAGGTATTGTGGTGCTTACATTGAACAAAGACGATTGAGGTGGTGTGCAGGAGTCCTTCGGTTGTTACCAAGAGCCCAAGTTGTGGTGAGATTGTGAGAAATAGAAGGGTGTGATGGAGATTAAGGGTTGAGAGACCTGGATCTATGTTGGCAGCAACGATTCCTTCATTTCTTGACACCGATTGATTGCAGGTAGTCTTTGATGTAGGTTGAGCGGCTGAGAGCTTGAGCTTGAGATGGGAAGGAAATTGGTGAAGAAAGTGACCTAGGTGTTTTTTTGTGTGTGGGATGAGACACGAAAGTAGTTATGGACTTGTGGCTTTGTTATTGTGGGCTGGCCGTTGGGTTAGGAAATGGAGGATTAATTTTCAATTTTCCAAAGAGTAATGGAAGAGCTTAGTGTGAGTTGTAAACTACTAAGGGAATGAGCCAGAAATTGGCTGGCCAAACAATGCTTCTAACGCACAGTTCCTTCATCCTCAAGATTTGTAGGGATTCGGAGACCGCCATCCATGATCTCATGTTCAATATACACAAGCAAGCATGTTCTCCTCTGCAATGCCAAACAGATCTACTCGGGATTTATCGCTCACTATTTGAACACAGACTCAGAGACCAGAACCACTCAAGAATGGGGATCACAGGAAGATGAGGAAGAGAGGAAGAAGCCGAAGAATACGACGATACCGATCAAATGTCACCGATGCAAGCAGCGATCTCCGATCAACAAACTCTAACAAATTTTCTCGCTCTTATGAATTCTACCAGTCAATTATTTTAGTATCGAATATTGCAATATTGAATACCAAAATTATGTTCTAGAATCAATAAAATAATATATATATATATATATATATATAACATGAATAAGAAAACGCTATTTAATAGTAAAATAGAAGCACGATCATCATCACGTATTACGGGACAATGTTGCCGTACTCAATCCTTGATCTTATTAATTAACCCACAGGATCATTTAGCAAGCATTAACCAACGAGTAGAGATGTTGTAGAGTTCCTTCAAAACCACACATGATTGGGTCTCGAGATCCAGATTAGTTTATTACATATTTGCGATACGCTTTCACATAGATCAACATTACAATTAAGCACATTTTCCCCATCATCGTTCTAAGAACTTACCACATCTTTGGGGGAAATCATTATTAGTTTTTGTTTTGGCAAATATTGAAACCATCGATTTAAACCTTTATTATTTCACCAAAAACTCATCGGCTTTGAGTTAAACTAATAATGATTATTTGTCCACCTAAAACTAATTACTGCTAAATCTGAGATCATAGAGCTTAACCCCAGCCAACGAAAAGATCCCGAAGTGCTTCTGATACTCATCCCCGCCCCTCTCGTTCTCATCAAACAGATCAAACATGTACACCTCCATCTCCTCCTTGGGCCGCTTCGGCGTCCCCACGCCGTTCACCGCCCGCCGCACCACGTTGTCGTTGTACGTGAGCGCGTTGTCCACACCCGCCGCCTCCCCGCACGCCGTCGGCCACCCGGTCTCCGCCACCACCACTCTAATCCCTTGGAACCCTTCCCTCTCCATCGCGTGAACGAACGCGTCGATGCTCGCGTCGAGCAGATTGTCGTACATCAGCCCGCTGTCCCCGAACTCGGCGTCGGCCTTGAAGAGCGCGTACTCGAGCGGGATCCTATTGGAGTGCGACACGTACACCTCGTAAGGGTAGAGATTGACCATGAGCGGGGAACCGGAGTCGCGGAGGAACTGGAGGAGAGGGATCATCGCGGGCTTGATGAGCGGGTCGAAGTGGGCCGAGGAAGGAGGGTAGAAGCCCGACATGACGGAGATGGGCTGAGGGGACGAGATCTTGATCCGGCCCGCCAGGCCCACGGACTGGAGGGCCCCGTGGAGGTTGGTGATGGCCGGGACGACGTAAGGGGTGTAGAAGGCGTCCCTCACGAAGGCTTCCGGCCCGACGGCGAGGTACCTGACCTGCGACGGCGGGATGTGGGAGAAGACGTTGGAGATGAGCCAGTCGACGGTGGAGTTGGCGGTGCCGGACGCGATGGACGGGAGGCTCTCGTTTGGGATGTCGATCATGAGGCTGATCCCGGTGCTGGCGAACGATCGGAGGGTGGCCGCGTCGGCGTCGAAGAGGCGGACGTTTTGGATTCCGTTGGCCTGGAGGAGGCCGACCACCGCGGTGGGCGGTGGCAGGTTGTTGCCTACCCGGCCGTAGCACACTCCGACGGGCGCGCCATCTGACTAATTGTTAATTTTTAAAAGTTACAAATGGGATTTGGCATTACAAATAATTTTAAATGCATGCATTTCAAATTAAGAAAATTTAACATAGTGTATACATTTGAAATACACATATTTAAAAATGCACTGAGACTTAAATTCGTGGACTAATTAATAAGTAAAAAAAAAAAAAACTAACCCGCAAAAGATTCCAAGTGAACGAAGATGATGGAGAGTAATGAAATTATGTGGGAGAGGAACTGAATATACATTTTTTTCGATTCTACTTCCGTAAGCGAAAGTTAATTTAAGACCAGCTGTTAATTTTTCAAGAGAATTGAGGCTATATAGAAAGGGATGGATTTGCTATGCTTAGGAGAGGGTGAAGAGTAGATTGGAAAAAAGTATATTGTTGCAGAGGGTATGATACACTTGTTTTCTAACTACATGGACTAAAGTTGGTTAATTAGTTTGGTGCCCCTTTTAGGCAATTAATGATGAAATATTTCTCCCCATTAATCAAGAAATTTCTAGGTACCATTTAGCAAATTCTACCGGGCCCCTTGGACGTGGTTGGATTAGAAAAGAAGAGTCCACACGATAAGAGTCCGCAGAGAAGCCCGTAAAGACTTAAACAAAAAGGGCTCAAATGTGGATGAACTGGCCCAATCTTTGGGCCCAAACTCAAATCCCTGATGGCGGAATTAGGGTTTTTAATATTCTTTCTCAGTTCTCCCAACTCCCATACCTCCATCCGCCGCCGGTCTGAGAGGGAAATTGTCGAGTAAGGAAAAGGGAAGGAGAAGCGATTAAGCGAAGAAGAAGAAGAAGAGTGAAAAATGCCTGCTGGGCACGGTCTTCGCTCCCGAACTCGGGATTCCTTCTCAAGACCCTTCAGGAAGAGGGGTTACATCCCATTGACTACTTACCTGAGGACCTTCAAGGTCGGCGACCATGTCGACGTCAAGGTGAACGGCGCCATCCACAAGGGCATGCCGCACAAGTTCTACCACGGCCGCACCGGTCGTGTCTGGAACGTCACAAAACGTGCCGTCGGCGTGGAAATGAACAAGCAGGTATTGCGATTGCTTATAAATGTTCCTGTAGATTGATGAGTACTAATAATTGGGTTGCTTGAAATCGATGGGATTTATGAGGGTTTTGATTCTGCTTTAGACCTGATGGGTTGTGGGTCTGTAAGACTGTACCTTGTTATTCACGATCCAGTCTTCATTTGCAACGGGGAATTGCAACGAGTGTTAGATGTTGGATATTCTAGCTACGTTCTGGAAAGGGCTAGCAAAGATGGAGCTTCGGCATATTAGCATGTCGAAGTCGATCCTTTCTTTAATCTTCATTCTTCTTATGGATCTTTGGATTCACTGCTGCATGGAGGTTTGAGGCTAAGAAAATGTATGATTATGGCCTTTGCGTAAGTCATGTTAGTTCATCTGATAGCACCATTGCTTGAATGGCAATTGGTTAGTCGCCTATCCACTGTACAGTATTCCGAAACCTTATGGGGAATCAATCTTCAGTAATTGTTGAAGAATTTGGGTGCAGTAGACAACAGTGTTGTCATTTGCTTGTTACTTTTATGCCTGTTTTTCGCCCATAATGGTGTCCATTTCAATGGAGAGGTCTGGCTTTGCATAATTGTGTTTGGGATATGGAAAAATGACTCGCAAGTCTCTCAATTTGTAGGTTGGGAATAGGATCATCAGGAAGAGGATCCACGTGAGGATAGAGCACGTGCTGCCATCCAGGTGCACCGAGGAGCTACGCCTGAGGAAGAAGAAGAACGACGAACTCAAGGCAGAGGCGAAGGCGAAGGGTGAAGTCATCAGCACAAAGAGGCAACCAGAGGGGCCGAAGCCTGGCTTCATGGTTGAAGGCGCCACCTTGGAAACTGTTACTCCCATTCCCTATGATGTCACCAACGATCTCAAGGGCGGTTACTAGGTGTGTTATTATCTCCTTTAAGGGTTTCAGTTTGTGGGTTACGACTGTGAGACTGCTGCATACACTCTGGGTTAAGCTCCACTGAATTTGGTTTCCCTAGCCACTTTCGCAATTTCATTGAGATGATGTTTCTTAGTGTGTCTGTATGCAAGTTAGATATGTCCTTTTTGACACCTGAACAGATATCTGAGTTAAGAAGTGTTTGTGTATGCAATTAGTAGCTGGGAAGTGGGAATGAATGGATGTGTTGTCGTGTTAAAGGCAGAGAATAAGCAAATTAGAGCTGGAAAGTGGAAGGAATATGTTTATGGGTTAACATTTGATGCCATTGATGAACTGGGGCAGTAGGTATCATAATATATGGATATGTGTCTGCCACTGCTGCGATGTCGAAAGTGGCCAAGTGGGGGATTTGGCTCTTTATTATGCACAAGCACAAACCCTAAAAAACGAACACTAAAGTGGATCTTGATTCTTCCTTTTCGTATGGGTATTGGTTTTTTCTTCTTCTTTGGTAGACTAAGTGCCACCTGCTGTCAAGGCTGATGTAAATGGCAGCGGCTGTCACCTGTTATAGATGCTTCATTCCATCACTCAAAGTCTCAAACAGATTTGAGCTTTCCAATTTGGAAACAATGCTTCATTCCTTCTCATTTGGATGATGCTGTAGATTTGAGGTGTGGAACAAGAAGTTCACTAGAATTAGGTTGTAGTGCGACTGTCTGTTTCATTTTCCACTGTCAAGAAAAGGGCATTATTCCCACTGGTTTCTGCTAAATCTATGGTCCACCATCTAATTCTTTTTCCTAATTGTTATTTGGTAGTGGCACTCGCACCAAGTATGGGGAGAAAATGAGGGAAAGAAGTAATTAACGCAAAACTCAAGTGGCCAATCTAATCTAATCCATCATTATGACCATGAGTACAGAATTTTTAAACAATGATCACTTCCTTATAGCATACTTGTACCTTGTACGGTTGTACCCACTGCCACTCCTCTCCAAAATGTTCATCTTTCCATTTTCCTTGATCACAGAAGGAACCGCTTGCTCAAAGATATGTTACTTCTGTCCAGGGCTACGGATGAGCCAAGTTGTGAGTGGCTTCGTGTTCGGTTCGAGGGAAGCTTGTTTGACACTCGACTCGTTTAGTAACGATTCGAGTTTGAACTAAGTCTTATCCGGCTTGCAAAACTTGTGAGTCAGCTCGATTCAATGACTTCTTGAATACAACTCGGGAGCTAGCTCATTTTGAGTTATGGGTTAGTTTAACGGTATGGCTAACAAGGCGCCTCAACTAGCAAGTTAGGAGCAAATTGATTACTAGCTTATCATTGACTTGCTATTCATAAGTTAGTTAGATTTTATATCTCGCCATATTTGATGTTTAAGAGTTCGAGCACGTGATATATCTCATTTATAATTTTAGAGAAATTATGTATCATAAATTGTTTAGATACTATTTACTATTCAATAATATTATGTGACCAAATTATAAATTATGAACTAAATGATATTATATATGAGATCGAGCCGATTTGGCTAGGTAATTGATGAGTCTAGCTCGAGTCCATCTCAAGTTAAACACAATCTAAAATTTTCGAAAATAATATAAGTTGAACTAAAGTTAGATCAAAATACGGTTAGACTCAACCCTTTTGTAGTCCTACTTCTGTCCAGCTCCTTCCTTTCGGTCGATTCTTGACTCTTGTGTAGGTTTAAAATTTTGCTCATTTCATACAATTCATAACATTCGACTGGGATTAAATCGTTCGGAAAACTCAAAATACGATCGTAATTAGTGACTAATTTCATCGGCGCCAAAATATATTATATAAAAAAGAATTCTTTTGCATGTATGGGGTAGAATGTGATGCAAAGCCAGACCCAGATCTGCATAATGGTGGACATAAAAAGAAGGATCAGCCCCAGATGGATTGGACATGACGGGAATCATTCTTTGAAAACGAAGCAAGGAATAAATTAAAAAGCTAGGTGACATAAACAGTAGTAGCAGTAGTATGAAAAACAATGCAGGCGCCTCTGCTGAAAGCCCTAATCCCCTCCCAACCATTCAACAGCAGCAGCAGCAGTGGAGCCAGATCTCTATGTTGGGTTTTAGCTTTATCTGCATCATATAAAAGAAAGCGCCAAAGATATTGGACGCTAATCCCAATGTTGAACTTGAACACACAACTAAAGTTGCTCCATAGTAGCCCAGCCCTGCATCTTGGACCGAAACACCATATCAGATGTTGAAAAAGCACCATTACCCACTCGCCCCCTCAAAATCCCTTTCAAGACAACACCTTTTGTGGTTATTGTTTGTGTTCCTCGATCTTCTTTTGTTTGTGCTTTTTATTTTGTCTTCTTGTTGTTGGTTGTTGTTGTTGTTGTCTTTCACACTGATGAATCAGGTACATCATCAGACCTCATGTCTAGCAGGGAGAGGCTCGTTCTTTCCTGAGTTGCTTTTGCAGCAGCTACTGAATCGATCAAACCAACAACTACTGGGAAAAGTAAAAGGCCAAATGCTTCATTTGTGTCTGTGGTAAATCGCCAGTCGCAGTCGTGATTCGTGTCTGGTTCGTGTATGCACCGGGCGGGCTAATGTATTTGATGTTAGTCATTGAAGGCATGTTTTAGATGGATGAGATGACATGGTCGGACGCATATAACAAAATCAGCTCACGCTCAACAGTGTCAAACCATTAAAACTGTGAGATAAGCAAGAATGGGTTTTCAATAATCTGCAAGGTTTGGAATCAGACTGATGTCAATGATTGGTCTAAAGAGTATCGTATCGAGCACCAAACAAGTGATGCTTATTTCCCTTCTTCTTCTTCCTTTTGAAGTATTACAGTATAGTTTAGTTGTGCAAGCAAGCAAAGCAAAGTCTCCAAAATCTTGCTTTCTCGTATTACCAAGCTGAAAGCAGAGAGAGATGGAATAGAAGTGCCCCATCTCGATGGTTAAAGAAAGAACCCATTACCCACTCATCATCCACAGAATATCTTTAGTTGTCTGCTTCTCTTTAATAAAGCCATCAAACTTCCCCCCTTTATTGAAAATTTAAAACATCCCCCACTCCAAATTTCAAAAAAAGAAAAGGGAAAAACATCCTCCTCCATGATTGTGCCAAAACCCCATTTATAGGCAACCTCTTTGTCTCTCTTCTCTTCTCCTTCACATTGCTTGCTTCACCACCTCACTCAAAGAACCTCTCCAGTACTTAAAACCAACCCACCAACCCCAAAAATCTCAAAGAAAAGAAACAAAAATGGCAACCCTTCCACAGCAGCCATATGCAGAGCAGCAGCAGCAACAGCAGTCGCCTGTCCTCGTGTACCCAGACACGGCCGCCGCGAGAGGCCCGCCAGCGGAATCCCACTCGAATAACGGGTCGTTCGGGTCGGTGTTCATCGTGCTGGCGGTGATCATCGTGGTGTCGGCGGTGGCGTGCTGCCTGGGGCGGGTGTGCAGCAAGAGCACGAAGCATGGTGGTGGCGGCGGCGGGAAAGAGCATAAACAGGGGAAGAAGCAGAACAAGGACAAGAAGAACAGCAGCAAGGGGAAGCCCCAGAATTCCAAGGTGGGCCAGAGCGATGACATCGAGTTTGGGTTCGACAAAGTTGGTGGTGGTGGTGGTGGGTTTCCTCCCATGGGCCGGCGGGAAGGGCCCAGTGGGCCTCATAATCATTTTAAGCAGCCTCAGCCTGCTGCTGCTGCGGACGGCAATCACAACGCCCCGTATTTCCCTTACGGGCCTCCTCCCCCGCCGCCGCCGGCGAATCATAATGTTCACCGCGGCGGTGTGAATGGGATGCTGATGATGAACGGCGGTGGGCACCAGCAGAAGAAGGGGCACGGCGGCGGCGGTGGCAACCATAACCCTCATTTCAAAGGTGATGGGCACTATCCCACCATGGAGTTTCATGACGGCGAGCCTCCTAGGCGTTAATTGATTTCGATTGGGGTTGGGGGGTGAAAAGTTGAAACCTTTAGTTTGAAGTGGCGGAATCAATGAAATGGTTCCTGATATCGATGGGATTACTACTAATATGGAAAATTGGGTTTTCATTGTTCTTGGTAGGGGTGTGCAATGGTCCGGTCCGTACCGGACCACACCGGACCAAACCGTTGTTAAGACCGGACCGAACCAGACCGAGTAAAATGCGGTCCGGTCCTTGGTCCTCATGAATTTTATAATTACTGAAGAAATGGTGGACCGAGCTCATATTTGGACCGGACCGAATCGGACCAAATGGACCAAATGCAAGAATGGTCCGGTCCTTGGTCCTAACATGTCTTTCACTAATGGACCGCGGTTCTCATGAGTTTGGTCCGGTCCGGACCGAACCGAACCGTTGCACACCCCTAGTTCTTGGTTGCGTCTTTCTTTATTAGCTTTTGATGTTCTTTTTCCCCCTTCTTTTTTCTGTTTGGGTATATCATTAAGCAGTCTTCCGTAGTAGTAGCTTGAAAAATGAAATGTATAATTACAAACGCAGAAATGGTTACTTAATGGCAAGGGTCTCGCCGTCTCGCCACCTCACTTGAACTTTTTATTTATTTAGGGATGACAAAAGTGAGGTTGCTAACTAGTTCAGCGGTTTAAGAGCGAGCGGCTCGTTGTTCGATCCGGGAAAAAAAATGTTCGGTTAGAGGAAAAATTTTGATTTATTTTTTTTAACGAGCAGAGTTTTAGCTGAGCCTTGTTTAACTCGTGAGACTTGTTGGCTTCGTGGCTCGTTGAGTTCAACTCGTGAACTGTCTCGTTTTGAGCTCATGAGATGTCTTCACATCGAGACAAGCAATTCCCAACTCGACTACGTGACTTACGAGAAAATCGTTCTCTATCTTATGAGTTGGTTTGCTAATATCTCATAGTTTTTTTTTAATTGTATATATCACTCAATAGGTTGTTTAAGACTTTGAGTACGTGAGTAAATATGTCTCATTTATAATCTAAAGATAAATTATGTATTATAAATTTCTTATATACTAATTATTATAAAATTACATGACATGGCCTAATTAAAATTTATGAGCTAATTAATGTGATACCAACGAAGTGTATAAACATGAGATCAGTTAATTACATGCATCATACATGACCTACGAATATTAGAGTATTTAATTTGTAAATGATCTTGGAGTTTAGTTTAAGGATCAAAATATTTGGAATACATGAGTTGAGTTCAACCTGAACTTATGATCTTAATGATGAGTCAATGTTTAATAAATGAACCGATTTGAGATTGACTCGACTCAACTCATTGATTAATGTAACCCAACCTAAACAAAACAAAATTCGACCTTGACTCAATTCATTAGCAGGCCTAATAAAAACCTATCCGATCTACTAAGCCTTACCAGCCCACTCAATTTGGAGGTGGGTTTTATCTGACCGGTCCCTCTATAAAGAGTTTCGGCCCAACCCGTACATGAGCCATACCATATTCATTGTCCTTCATCCGGCCATGTAACACCATTCTAAAAACTTTTCTACTCGTGGTCAAAGACTTGCTCTTTCCGCTTCTCTATATAATTTTATTACTAGTTAATGAGTCATCGATAAACCACCTGGATTTGACAATTTGTGCATTGGGTTATTTGATTTGTTTCTTTGCTAGATGTTTATGAATTATTATGGCAAGTTGGTTCATTAAGTACTAAGTAGGGTGATTAATTATACCTATGATACTATCACTAATAAGCCAAAAATGGGTATGTTCCATCAAATGTTAATCAATCTATACATGTGTGTCTGGATATACGAAGACTATGTGACACAAAACAATGCTCAAAGTGCTAGATTCACGAATCAATACAGTACACAAAATCTGGGGATATCCAACATAGTAATGCCAATCATAGGAGGGAAAAGAAGAAGGAAAACAACTTCTCTTAAATGGAAATCACAAGGATAACTATCAAGTAATGCTCTTATGCTATACTCTAAAAGCACTTCCTTGTGAGGAAGCAAATTGTATCCTTTAGGTGTGTAGAAATGGTCTTTCTTGATTACCAAGGATTAGCCCTAGCACGACTCTCCTTTAAGCAGCTGCTCAACTTGGAATGCAGTGCATCCTTTTCGTGATTGTTTGAGCCAAATTGGACGTAGATCATGATCATTAGTGAGGCTTGGTGTGGCTTCTTGAGCATACTTTTGTCTCATGGGGGCATGTGAATTGGGCCCGAATCCTCGAAATTGTTACACCTGCAGAGACAATTGTAGTTCATCCTTGGAACCTTTTAGTTTGACTCTGTGTGATTGGTCCTTGAATTAGATCATAATTAGGTCCTTGGATCATTCTTGGGGTGCATGAGATTGATTGATAATTCCACTAATTACACAACATTAAGTAGTTGATTACCTTTTCAATAATCATCATGAGGTGTAGGTTTATTCTGAGTACTTTTTTACAGTTATGGTGACGATGGTGAGGGACTGAGGACAATCGAGCGTACTGTTATTCGTTTAGTTTCTGAAAAGTCAGTCTGATAACCCCGATTTTGTGGTTTTCTTGGTACGCAAGCAGATTTCGCCCTGCCAATCTCGTTACAGTAAGAAAGAGAAAAGCAACAAACACCAGAAGTAAGTAGTACTCGCCGAGTCGCCGCCCCCACTGACTCCACAGTCTCCCTTCCGCCCTCTTTCTGATTTCCCTTTCGCTTCTTCCCCTCTGCTCTGTATCTGCATACCAGAGATATTCGCTGCTGCAACACCTTCTCTTTCTCTTCTTTCGTCCCCCATCGGAGGAGTGCCCATATCAGCAAACCCACAAGGGAGAGCAAAAAATGGCGGCAAGGTTGGACAGTGTGGTGGAGTTACTTCGGCCGCTCGTCTATTCCAGAGCTTGGGATTACTGTGTTGTTTGGAAGTTGACGAATGATCCTTCCAGGTAATTCTTAGTTCCACAATCCTTTTCTTCAATTAACACTTTTCGTACTCACCAAGTGTTTGATGTTTGTTCTGTGTGAAAAAAAAGGGTTGTGGAATGGATGGGCTGTTGCTGCAGCGGCGCGGAGATGGGTTCCGTCGATCCTGCTGATAGCGTCGTCAAGCAGGAGATTGGAGCAGAGGTAATGGGCACTCGTAATTTTTGGGGTCCGCTCTGTAGAGATGTTCACTTGAAGCATCGGATTAGCACAATGGCTTGTCAAGCTCTTGCTCGCTTGCCTTCTTTCATGCCTTTGTATTCTGGGTAGGTGATATTCTGAAACTTGGTACTCGTGGAAAATATTGTTGTTCGGCACATAAGCGTGCTGGTGAGTGATTTTGTTTATTGGGACTGGTCCAGGATTCATGGAGAGGTTGCCATTTCAAGTCGATCAAGGTGGCTTCACCACGCCGGCAATGTCGCTGATTCTGAGTGTCATTCTGTGAGCGTTGGTTCCTTTCTCAATTTTGTTTTACTTGTTCCAATTGAATATGCAGTTGAAATGCTAAAAAGATCCCAAATGTGGCAGGAATCATCTGGGACTCAAGTTTTGATCCCGGTGCTCGGCGGGCTGGTTGAGCTTTTTGCAGCCAAGCATGTAAGGATGATATCTGAATTCTCATGCTCACTTCTCGGTTACTCTCATGACTAATACAACTGAGCAATCTATCCTCTAGTCATTGATGCGCTCCTCTGTCCATCTTAATCAGGTGCCTGAAGATAAGAAGATTGTTGACTTGATTATGACTCACTGTAACATGCTTCTTCTTGAGACTCTCAAGGAGGATGATCTCAACCCCTTGCTCCAAAACGAGTTCCACGATCTGTTGTCTCCCTTCCACATGTTCAGTCTCATTCCCGAGATACAGCTTCTTCCTCCCACATTGCCGCTGCAGCTATCCACTGCCAGTAACGGCTTTGAAGGATCATCAAGCACTTGCAGGCCTTCAAATGGTTATCCATTGTTGGATCTGTGTTATAGTCCATTTTCTGTACAAAATGCAGGATCAGGTAGCTCAACGGAATCCAAGTACCAGGAGAGCTTCCTGAAGAAACAAGCCCCCTCTCCAAGGGTGGTTTCACAGGGTAAGCAGAAATTGGACAGAAACACGAACAAATCCAAGAATCTTACGTCGGAGAGGAACAGGAGGAACAGGATCCAAGAACGGATGCTCTCCCTACGTGCCTTGGTCCCCAAGATTACAAAGGTTGTGAAGACTACTACCTCTTCCCAATTTTCATGTGCTTTCTCTTCTATATCATGACATGAGTGATTTTTTTGGGGTAATGCTGCACATCTTCAGATGGACAAAGTTTCAATAATTGGAGATGCAATCGAGTACATTATTGAGTTGCAGAACGAGAAACAGAGACTCCTAGAGGAGCTTCAACAGATTGAAAATGAGCAAGGCAAGGAGGTCGACGTGAAACAGGAATTAGGTGATGACGACCTACCCGTTGCTGCTAAAACTAGAAGGATTGAGGTAATGGAAAACGAAACTAATCATTAAAAACAAAGCAAGACTTTTATATTGTGGAGTGGCATGTGAAATGAGGCTCGTTGTTTTAATTCGCCAGGCTCAACTAGACGTGACCCGCATTAACAAAAACGAGTACTTGATCAAGCTCTTGTACCACCAGAAGAATGGCGGATTCGTGAAGCTGATGGAGACTTTGAGCTCTCTAGGTCTTCAAGTTGTAGATGCCAACATTACCAACTTTGATGGCCAAGCTCTAAACATTCTCCGGGTTGAGGTACCACTCAGACTTTTGTGTTCTGTCGGAAGTTAACTAGAACAGGATCTAATCGGTCATTTTGTCTCTGTCAGGGAAACAAGGAAATCCCAGAGATGAAACTGAAAGACACGTTGGTGAAGCTAGTATGAGAAGTACGTATTTCAGGAAGCACATGGAAGAAATAGAAGAAGCGAGGAAGGTCCTTCTTTCCCCCCTCCTTATATATGCAGCTTTTGGCCTCTTCGCTGGCGAACTTAAGTGACGCCTGACAATGATTGCGGAGAAAAAAAAAATCTTATCGATGACGTGGGTTACAAGTACTGACATTGAGTTCCTTTTGTTTACCTGAACTTCAGTTTCTTGAAATACTAAGTACGATGTAAATTTAAAGGGTTTCTTCTTTACATAGCAGAGCGTACAATGAGGAAGAAGAAGCAAACACCGTTAACCATATAGTAGAGGTGTTCAGGTTAATCCGAGGTTTGATATCGATCCACTAGCAAATAGTTTAACATGCAGCGGTGGGTTGGTGATATATGTGGGTGGATTGGGTGACCCGCACGATATTTTCACAAAATCAAATGACTCGTGCCTAATTACACCTATCCCGATCAAAGGCGAAGTGCAACATCTAACCAAGTGTAGTATAGAGCAACTATTTCGTAATATAAACTCCCGTGGTTTATCTATCCTTACTTCAATGAACTACACGTTATCTAGCGATCTGATTATTGTTTTAACTACTACTCTAAACAAGCATGCAAGTAAATTGAGATAGAATTCAATTGAGGAAACTTCAATCGGATGTGTTTCCTCTCAGTACATGCCGAATTAACGTTGTGACACCCTAGCATAATTCACACTTGGCATATACCATGGGGAGCTCTAATTTAGATAAGACTCCATATGCGAGTTATTCTACCCGGCTCAATTGCGCTACCCGGAGAGGCCTACCAAATAACCGACCTAGACAATTGAGGCAATCAAAACTACTCCCACAATTTGGTAAAAACCCGATACAACACAAGGAATCTAATCACACTTATTCATAGACTCCAAGTATTGAATTGACAATGCTCTAAATCAACAATAAGGAGATATTCTCTCACCTAGATCAGTTAGCCCCAAATAGAGGGAAGTTATCAATTTCGATGAATAATACTCAAATCAATATATAATCAAGATGCAAATCAAGGAATAGGGTTCACAAACAATCAATTACAACATAATAGAGTAGAGTTCTACAATACCCGAGTGAATTGGAGGACTAATCTATGGTTATATTGACAAAAACAACCAAAGTGGAAAAGACAATCATCATGATGAGAAGATCTTGCTCCTTGGCTGCTTGTTGTGTTCTTGAAGATGGAATCAATCCTCCTATGGTGGTGGGTGGCTCTAATTGTCCTCCAACCCTCCTTGCTGGTTACTTTCTTTCTCTAGGATAAAAGAACACCTCCAATTTCTCTTTAAAAAAGCCAACCCCCTTAAAATATGATTTTTCCTCTATTTTACAGTCCGTAGTGAAGAGTTCACGGTTGACTATCACGCCCATGAACTTCGCAACAAAACCGTGATGCAAACTGAAAGCGCACTTCACGGTCTGGTCAAAATCTTCACGCCTTGAGACCGCGAAGTCTGCAACTAGCCGTGAGTCGTCCTGATCTTCCAGGGATCCTGCGACGTTCAAAGTTTTGGTGTACTCTTCACGCCCTGAGATCATGAAGAAATTCCCTGAACCAGCATCTTTGACTGTTTTCACCATTTGGTCCCGTTTTGTCTCATTTCCATCCGACTTTCGACCCATTTGCCAATTTCACCTGTTAGAGCCTAAACACACTCAAAAATAACAAAACCTAGTGTAAAATGGCTCCAAGGACGATGGTACACAAGTCAAACGACAAAAGGAAAGGGGTACAAATTGGCTCGAATCACATACTACACACACCATCAACTTATGAAGATAGAGATAATAATAGGAATAATACCACTACAACACCCGAACTATAAAAAATGTCACTTATTCCTATTTATTCAATATGACAATCACAACACACATATGAGATATTTGAGACATTTGTATCCTCTCGCTTTTGTTGACCGTTAGAGATAATGGTTGATTTGAGGTGGTCAAAAGGATACTAAATTTTGATGACGTGACAGTCAGGTAGAGCCTATGTCATTGACATATATGATTATTTTTTAATATATAATTACATTAATTTTAAAATAACAAAAAAAAGATATTGGCTCGCTCACTTGCGCTTTGCGATCGAAGGTAACACTATAACTGCGTTGTATGAAATATTTAACAAAATATAACTCATAAGGCAATTGCAAAAGGAGCAAGAAAAATCACAAAAATGTTGTGAGAGGACTCCAGAGCAATTTTCACTCTCTGACCAATGAGTCTATGGATCAAAGGAGGACGATCTACACACTATTGATGAAGAAGTATTTGTTTGATTTGGAGCGTGACAACTATTAATTAGAGAAATTGCCGATGGATTATGCGTCTATTTTAGTCCAATAAACAAAAAGATAAACTTAGAAGTCAACTTGGATTGTCAACTTAGAAGTTACCTTGGATTGTCATATTGAATAAAATAGGACACAAGTGACATTTTTTTATAGTTCGGGTGTTGTAGAGGTATTAGCCCTAAATAAATTTCTGGACTATAATTATTGGTTACTACATTGTGTAATATCTAGTAGATATTGGGATGGAAATTATAACTATTAACTGTATGAAAGTCACAAAATGCGTCAACTTTCTCTACACAGTTGGTTGATTGATTAGTACTTTTTTTATGCAAATACTACTCTAATCCATAAGAGACAAATTGAGAAGTGTCTTTATTGATACAATATTACTAATTTGTGAGTAAGTTATTATAGATGTTAATCAACTTTCTTACCTGCTAGTTGGAGAATATTATTTTTGTGGGTTAACCCACAACCCAACCACACATATCGCCACCCAACCAAGCCAACCCGAAAAAGGATGTAAGTGAATAATGTGTCAAAATTATGCGTACTTACTAGTAAGTAGGTGGGTCAATTTGAGATCAAATCACACTCATCCACCCATTGCCCACCCCTACCATATAATAAAATATAGGGTTGAGTGCTTGGATTTAATAAGACATGACCACTGTATTTTGTTCCCTTGGGTTTTTAGTTTTGACTTCACAATCATCCTATAATAGATAGGTAGATGATCACGAGAAAATTGCATTGTGCCGAAAAATTACATTTCCACAAGATTTTCACTGAGTTACACCCTCACTTCCTTTATCTATACATCATGAAACTCGAGATTTCATGGAGATCAAAAGAGTTGGAGGGGAGGGAAGGAAGGAAGGAGGGAGGGAGGGAATGGAGTAAAGAACATTGATGTTTGGGGGAGAGCATATGTAGTTTATGGGTGTGAAATTTTCAAGCACTTGATTAACATTTTATCCTTTTCCGTTTCTTTCTTTCTTGTTACTAGAATGAATGATAATTGGGGGGGGGGGGGTATCTTCTTCTACCAATTTCTTGATGAGGGCCTATTAATGGCTCGAGTTTCCAACTCCCCGCTGCTTGAGTAATCCCCAGTGGAATTGGCTATTGGTACTCCGTGAGACATCTCTCTTGTGGTGAAATCTCCGGTACTGTAGCCGAACTCCCCGCTGTCATCTGAACCTAGTGCCATCCTCCTGAACTTCATTATCTCTTCGTTGTACTGGCCAGAGTTGTACATTGTGCTTTGTCCATACTTCATCCCGTTGGTGAGGTCTCCTGTTTCATCGCTGTCTAATGCTCTCACTACCTGCATCATTCTTGGCCTCTTGGGAGCAGAGTGGCGGATACAAGCAGCCGCCGTCTCGATCATCCTCATCATTTCTGCTTCCACATATCGCTTCTCTAGTCGAGGATCGACTAGCTCACCAAGATCTCCCGTTTCCATGGCATGCATAAGGTGAGGACGAGCCTGTCCCAACATATAAAAAATGGCCGATGAATACATCATTATGCACTGAGAGATAGAAGAAAAGAAAAGGAAGAAATAAAAAACAATCATCAAGGCTTTCAATTACCCATTCAACCAGGCTTTCATCCCCAAGGGGACGACTTGAATCTACAGGCTTCCGCCCAGTTATAAGCTCTAGAAGAACAACCCCAAACGAGTACACATCGGATCTATCAGTTAGCTTCCCACTTTGAGCATACTCTGGAGCCAGGTACCTTCAAAGAAACACCACTAACTGTTGTTAGTTCATCACTTTTCATTAATTAGAACATTATGAAGCATAGTTAAGAGAGTATATAAGTAGTTTCCGAGATTAACCAAAACTCACCCAAATGTTCCCATCACACGAGTTGAAACATGTGTTTGAGTAGTATCATTTAGTCTGGCAAGACCAAAATCTGCAACCTGAATTTTTTTTTAAACTTTTATTGGAAAGCAATTAGCTAGGAATGGAAGTAGCTATTAAATAGGAACTTTAATAAAGAAAGGAAAGGGAGGGGGATTGCAAGATTTAACTTGCCTGTGCCTCAAAATCACTACCCAATAAAATGTTTGCTGATTTGATGTCTCTATGAATGATTTTTGGGTTGCCTGCACAAAGAAAGGAAGAAAAAAAGTTAATGTGTCTTCATGAACAGTAAATAATAAATCGAGTATTTGAGTGTACGTACAATCTTCATGCAAGTAAGCCAATCCCTTAGCTGCCCCTATGGCAATTTTCAGTCTTTGAGACCAATCCAACCCTGGCCCTTTTGCTGTTGCCAACAACAGCAAAACATCACAAACTCTCAGTCACAACCCAAAAAGATTCGTATTATGGAAGCTTCCTATCTAGTTACCATAGATAAATGAAGACCGACGAGTTAATAAACATTGATATATTACCATGCAAGTGATACTCAAGGGTGTTATTGGGAAGGAACTCGTAAATGAGTAGCCTTTGAGCATCTGACATGCTGTAACCAACCAAAGATACGAGGTGGCGATGGTGGACGCGACTAATTATCTCGACCTCGGCCTTGAACTCTCGATCTCCCTGTCCACTCCCTGCCTTGAGCTGCTTCACGGCCACCATTTTCCCATCGGGTTGCCACCCTTTGAACACGCATCCAAATCCGCCTTCCCCTATAATGTTCTCACGAGAAAATCCACGCGTCATTTCCATCACCTCTTCGTAGCTGAAGAAGGACTTCCCCCCTCCGATGAGCCCTGAATCCGGGCCAGAGCTCATGCCTCTCTGGCTTCCTCCGCTAAACGCCCCTGAATTTTGTTGTGACGCATACGAGTGGTTCTGACTAGAGTAACCCATTGAATGCGGACCACCTGCTTGTCCGTAATAGTATGGGTCTGCCGGAGCACGCAATTGCTTGGGTTAGAACATACTAATAATCAATCATCGGTTATTACAAAAAAAAATCATTTAATTACTAATTGTTACCCGATTGTTGCATTGCAGAGAAATTATTGGGAGGAGTCATGTAAGGAGGAGCATAAGGAGGGTCATGGCGTCTTTTTTTCTTCCTAGTAGCGATGATGACTGCGATAAGTGCGATGAGTATGACGCTGACCACCACTGTGCTTGCTACAATTATAGCCGTGGTAGCCGAATTCCCGTTCCCATTACCTGAGTTTCCAGAATTTCCTGTTGCTTTTGAATTCGAAGCCGAATCAATCGAACCATCTTGGGATGCCGAAGAGGCACTACTAGGCACGTTTCCGCGAGTAGGGCTGGTTTCAGATCCACCCTGACCTGGTGGGGACCCAATTGCCGGGGGAGGATTGAACCCTCCTGAACTTAGCGGCACAGAAGGTGTCCCTGACGGTGTTGGGGTAGCTGTTTGCGTCCTTGGGGCAGGAGGAGAACCATCGCCGGAAGGTGTTTGGGGATTATTGGGTTTTCCTGTCGATGGTTGGGGTGGTGATTTCCCACCACTTTGTGGAGATGGCTGACCCGTGGACGAGGGAGGAGATTGGTTTCCTGAGTTAGAAGGAGGCGGGGGAGGAGAAGGGGTAGGAGAATTGGACCCGGAATTTTGCGACGCGGGAGGTGATTTTGTGGTCGATGGAGTTTTCGACGATGACGATGAGGGTGGTGGAGGTGGTGGCGTTCCTGAGTCATCAGGAGCGTCCGCAGATCCTTGATTATTGCTAGAATTTGACCCCGATGGCGGCGGTGGTGACGGTGAACCATTGCTAGTTTCATTATTTGTTTTGTTATTAGCGGGAGGAGAGGCTTTGGAACCTGAATCAGATCCTCCATCGCCTGAAGACGGAGACGTGGAGCCATCATCGGGTGGAGGAGGGGAAACGACTGTTGTAGTAGTATCTGAACTTTCCGTGGAATTATCATCCGCCTTGGAAACAACTGAGAAATTTTGTTCGAGACTCGGCAACTCCGCCGAGTTTGACATTTTATTTCCCCTCCGATTCCTTGTTGTATTCTTCCAATATTGCTCTTCCTCCGTCGTGTTCTCTTTTCCTCTGTTATATTTTCAGGAGAAAATTATCAAACAAGTAGAGTGCAAGAATTTCTCAATTCTCATTCACCAAGTTCATCATCCCTATACCAAATAGAGAATGGGCAATCAGAAACTTTACAACCCAAAACAGAAGGGATGATAGAAAATAGGAGGAAGAAAGAGATTTGTTCGTGGGTTTTCTGTTGATGGCGGTGATGGAATTTGTTTATGTTGTTTGATTCCCTCCCCCAAACCCTCTCTATTTCTTTCTACTACCTTTTTTCTTTGTTTTTTTTTGGATTTGTTCCTTCCAAGGTTCCCCCTTCCCTTCCCTTCCACAACTATGGTTTGGGCGATTTCAAGATTTCCTAAATGCCGGCTCTTCTTCTTCTTCCTCCAATTCTCTATGAAATTTTCTATTACAGTCTCCCACCCTGGTTTCTCGGGTTACCGCGCAAATTTAAAATGGTTTAAGCTAATTGGCTGCTCTCATGGGTTTTGTTGTAGTTTGGGTCCAATTATTTGTCACCTTACACCAATTTGTTCATGTATTTGCGGCGTTATTAGAACCGGTAACTTGATTACTAAACTTGTCAATCAATTGAAATAGTGAAAGTATTTATCTGCTTGGACGATTAACAGTATACCGAATAGTTGTTAGTGAATAGAAGTCAAATGAATGATATAAGTTTGGTCTAAATGGCTTGATATTCAATATTTGTAACTTAAAAATAATTAACAAAATAAAAAACCTGGCGGTAAAAATGTGACTAGGTTTATTTTACATGTATGAACAATTATGTAAATTATATTCCAATTGTTCTATAATGATAAATTTTGGATCATGAACCACTACCTTTTTTGATTCGATATTCGACATATTTTTTTAATACTGAAGTTTTTGTTTGCACTCCTCAAACCATGAAGAATCTTTATATGATAAACAAATAAATTTCATATTTGACAGTCGCTCAAATCACAAAAACAGAAATAATAGCAATATAAATCAAATATGCAGATTGTCATTAGAAGCAAAAAAAAAAAAGAACAAAACAAAATAGCATATTGAAGTAGAGGTGGAGGACTAAGGCGGGGAGTCTCAGTGAAGAAGTTTGTTGTCGTGAACGACAAGACAAAACAAAATAAGAACAACACAACGATCCGAAAAATAGGAAATGATAGCAGGAGTCATAAGACGGCGGCCCAAACGGAAGGAAACAATTCAGGAAAAAATAATGAAAATAGAAAAAATAATGCACCAACCTTCTTCTTGCTTCCTCTGGTGGAGTTAGGGGTGGGCAACGGGAAACGAGTATTTGGGAATACCCATACCCGTCCCGTTTTTTAAGGGTTACAGTACCCATATTACCCGTAATATTATAAACGGATGGGACTTGGGATTGTACATTTCTAATATGGGTACCCGCGGGTTACCCGCGAATACCCGTTTGGGTAATATGGGTACCCGTTATACCCATTCAATACAAAGGCAGCCCAACCCAATTCAGAACCTATTGGCTCAGCCCTCACCCTCACCCTTGCAATTTCAATTCCATTTGCCATTTGGGCCCAGGGCCCCTATCCTTTCAGTGAGACTCAACTTCTCAGCTATAGATTTTAGCTTCCCATGAACCTAAAAATTTGGACACTTTCTGCATTCAGCAACACAAGAAAAGTAGCAGCATGCCTCCCATTTGGTTGTGTTGAATGAAACTTCTTATTTGATAATTTGGTGCTTGGAATGATTTATTTCTATGTGTTGTGATTGTTCATGAATGTGTTATTTACAAACCGAGTATTTGTGATTGGGATGTATTTTGTGTCTTGTGATTGTTAAACAAATACAAGTTAAGTTTAAACTTTTGTTAAAATTTTAGTGGTTTAAACTTTGGGTATTTATGGGTAGTATGGGTACCCGTTATCCGTCCCGTACGGGAAATGGGTACCCGTTTCCCATATGTGTTTGGGATATGTGATAGACCGTTATTTACACATGTTTTTACCCCCGTTCTTACACCGTTTGAGGTGTTGATTCTCGTGTTTTAGGCCGATTTCACGCTAGGTTGTGCTTGTTTGTGATATTTCAGGTCCTAGTACGTGAATGGAGGCTTGGGAGCGAGTCTGGGGTCGATTGGACGAAGATCAGACGAATGGCGAGGTTTCAAGGAAGCCGCACGGGCAGACCGGGGCATCACACGGCCGTGCAAGTGAGCAAGGTGGCCGTGTGATTTCCACCGAGAGCAAACACGGGCACAAGTAGCTTTCACACGGCCGTGCCAGTGAGCAAAGTGGCCGTGTGATTTTTGCCGAGGCCACACACGGGCAACCCATGAAATCCACACGGCCATGCAACCCTGGCCGTGTGAGATGGCTGAAGACCGAACTAATCCATACGCTGCGTTTCGACTGCACGGGCAAAGTGGTGAGCCACACGGCCGTGTGGCCTGCCCGTGTGAGTCGGGAAATTCTGGTTTTTGAGCCAATTTCGAGCCAAAAGTGGGAGAATCGGATTTTCAGAGAAAAAACAGATCCCTAGAGAGAGAAAGTACGAAGAACACATCCTAGAAGCTATCTTGGAGCTGGGTTTCATCGAATCAAGCTTGGAGATCGTCATAGGAGTGGAAATCATCATCCCGGAGCAGATTTTCCTCATCATTATGAGTATGACTACTCCGATTACTGTTTTCTCTTCTCTCTCTATGGAGTAGAACCCTTCTCTCACTTGGGTATGAAGAACCCTAGTTCCTTGTGTTAGGGATTTGATTGTAATGACTTGGGATGATTATACTGTTTGATTTTAATCGAATGATGCATGTTTATTGAATTGATTGGAGTCTGATCAGCTTTTCTCGATTTCTGCTGCAACCTGAGATAGATAGAATCTGATTAGGTTGTTAGAGCCTCTTCATTCGATAGTAGGAGATTGGCTATACGAGAGTTAGCCAGTTTACTGCTTTGTACTGGAATTCAATTCCAGTAGTGGAGTTCTGTGTTCATAGCCTCAGCTTTCTATCCCGGTGAAGACTAGTCGTCTGCCGGGTAGTTAGACTGAGAGGGCTTGGTCAGTTTAAGAGATTCCAAGCTACTGTCGGAACTTCCGCAGTCTAATCAACAGTGAATCAACCCAGGGTAATTACAATTGGACCTAATCAAGGGGCTAGGGGGACTCAATCCCGAGTGACTTTTTCCTGACTTTGAAAACCGAACAATTTACTGCTTTCTTACTGCTTTTGCTTTAAACAACAATCACTCGAATTAGTTTGCTAGATAATAGATAATCACGGAGTAAGCAGTAGATCTAGACCCCGGGTTGATAATTGAACTTGCCTGTTACTGCATTCCCGGACTGCGATTACACTTGGTCGCAGTTTGGTGTTGTGTTTTGGCGTGTCAATATGGGATGGACTTTGGTCTCCAAACGGGATTGGGTACCCGTTTAAAACGGGACGGGTATCCCGTCCGGTTCCGTTGCCCACCCCTAGGTGGAGTAAGAGCTGCGGAGGAGGAGTCAGCTAGAAGGAGCATGGAGAAATGAGAATTGTAGTGGTAGTGACTGAGTACTTAGTATTGAGCCTACAATAAATAGATATTTCTCCACTCCTACAATGAAAGGAGACCACGTGATTTATGGAGAACGAAATATGTTTATCATTTATTTCATTAATGTTCAATTTCCAGATCTCCTGCCTATTCATATATGTTTCCTGCAGATTATTAACACAACATATATTTCAAATACGGGGGAGTGAGAGACGGAACAATTAAATTGTATTTATACATTCTTATGTTTCATGCAATTATTAACATGAATTATTAACACACAACATATACTCCAAATAATGGGGAGTGGGGGGGGGGGAGGAACAATGAAATTACATTTATACTTATTTAGCTCTCTCACTTTTAGCGTGGATTCTCTTTTTGTCGTTCTTGATGTCAGATTGCTTGGCGTTCTTCTCCACGAACCTCCCAACAATCAACTATGTGTAGGCGTTGAGAAGTGCTTTGTCCGTAATGGGAGTGCGATACTTGATTCGGAACAAGTGAGCAACGAGAAGAACTTTATTGAGATTCTCCTTAACGATCCTCCAACAAGTGAGCAATGAGCATACCCATGTTGCCGATTAGGCTCTTACTGGTTTGTTTCATTTTGTATACTCTTCTTGACCTTGAGAGTTTAACCCCACAACTAATAGCTTCATCTTTCTTTGTTCAACTATCCTAGTTCCATCCAGCAAAGAAAATCTTAACAACTCGCTGTCCACTGTAGATTATTATCTGCTAACTCAGTTTTGACATCTGATTTAGACATGAAGGGAATGATGATGAGTTTTCAAGTTGGTTTTTCTTTTTATCATTCGGCGATTAGTTTGAATGTTTTGCTTGCAGGAACGTCGCTTTTCAGCGTTGGAAAGTGAACTGGCAGAGATGGGAGGTCATGCAAAGGAAGCAGCTTATTGGAGCAGGAAATTAGCAATTGCCCTATTTGGCCTGACCTTTGGAGCAGTTATCGCGTCCATTCGGGACTAAACTGTCTCCCACCTCTACTGGGCACGACGACACGATGATGAATGAAAGGGAAGCAATTTAATCTTTTAATAACCAGATTTTATCCTCATGGATTCTATTGTTACTCCCTTACTTGGTGACGTGTTTGGATGATCTTAACTCTGTAATGATGTTGATTATGAGTTTCGGTACTATAAGATAATCTTTGACAACTAATTATCTTTCAATTTTCATGGGTATGTTTCTGTCTGAATGTTTTTTTTTTTTGTAAACTGTCTGAATGTTTTGCATGTTCTGAATGAGACGTATATAATTATTAGTTAGGCTTTGTCATGTTTCTGATGGTCTGAGATTTAATGTTTCTAAGATAAAGTGGATGAAAAATCGACATTGACAACTCCTCCGACAAAGAATTGGATAGTACAGTAAATGACTTGAATTATAGCTGAAACTGACCGACACCCAAAGCAATTTCATAGAAGGCCTTACAAGCCATCCATTTCTGCACCAAAGTGCCTTCAGTTCCAACATATTTAAATCAACCATAAACATTGAAATGAAATGCAGCAGTCTATCGGTAGGCTTTTACACTAACACTCTTCTAACCATCTAACTCATCCTAAGACCAGTATCATGGCTGACTCTATAGTGAAGTTACAATCACTAAGCATTCTAACCTCTAGCACTACCATTATTTTCCCAGTCAACTCCTACATTGTCATATTCTTCTTCCCAAAACCCAGCGGCAGCCTTCTCTCTATACTTAACTAACCACCCCATGGTGTCTACAGAAAAATTCCCACATGATGCTTCTCCAACTTCTACACAGCTTCTTCTAGACTTTCATGTCATCCTTCACCTGGTCAATAATCCCATGTATCACAAAAATAACGTGCAAAACTCTATGTTCA